CAGTTAATTCAATTTGCTACTCTTCTGATGGTACTACATTAGCATCTGGTAGCGATGATAAGTCTATCCGTTTATGGGATGTTAAGACAGGATAATAAAAAGCCAAATTAGATGGTCATTCAAGTGCAGTTAATTCAATTTGTTACTCTCCTGATGGTTATACATTATCATCTGGTAGTGATGATAAGTCTATCTGTTTATGGGATGTTAATGCAGCCAAAGAGATTTTACCTCAAGATCATTGTTATAGAGACCTTATTTCTTAGTTTAAATTCCCTTTTACAAATCAACCCATTATTTATGATGGTATTTGTTCATATTATTCTTTAGCCAACACTGATCGTACCCTACTACTAATATGTCAAAATCCAATTTTCGAGGCTTAAGGAGCTTTAATCTTGAAAGGCAAATTTGTTGATTACAAAGGATATGATTTGCAATCACTATTTAAATCTAAAGGGAGTTGCATTTTAGAAAATTTGATTGAAACAAAAATACAAAACAATTGAAAATTTTATAACATAATGAATATTAAATAAACTATTAATTATTTAGCTGCCACTTTTTTTTAAAGAAATGTTAAAGTTAAATTACTTTCAATATTCTGCAAGTCCTTACTTTCAAACCTTCTTAAATTTATTACAAAAGTCGTCTCTATTTTATTAATTGACACTTTACTAATAAATTTAGGAGGTTTCACTATGTTTATTTAAAACATTTTTCAGTTTTAATTATAATTAACCTTCGTTCGACTGAGTTTTTGATATGTTATTGTATAAGTGTTCAATAAAGCGAAATTTACAAGTATATTTTAATATAAAATTAAGTTACTGAAAATTATTTAAAACCAAAAATTTATTTCCAAAAAAAAAAAGAAGAATTGTTGAAATTATAGCAAATTTACTTCTAGTTAAGTCAATGAAGATCAAAGAAGTACTTAGAATCAGAAATAAGCCTTTTTACTAGAACTAAACTACAAACGATTGGAGCAACAATTTATATTTCAATAATTTTGTGAGTGTTGAATTTGTTATAAATTATATTATGATAAAATTTTTCTTTGCAATACTATTAAATTTTGCTCAT